CACTAAACTGGAAACAACTGAGGCTAAACTCTTATAGTAAAATATGTTAGGTTAAGCACTGAATTTTAGTCAACAAGTGGCGTAACTGCGTTCAATAAATGTCATTTGTGTCATGTAAGAGCTTAAAAATCTTAATTCCCTTAAACCAGAAGGGAAAAAAGCAAAAGTATAGCATAGGCAAGTTTTAATTGGTGGTTTGTTGTTCGAGTTTTTAGTGACACCACATACTTCTTATAGTTCCCAAGACACAGATAATTATTCCTCTTCGTATATTATACAAAACATCCTCAATACATAAATACTGAGCTAGTTCACCAATTGTGTACACTATATTTAACTGTTCCTGAAATCCTTTGGGGATGACATTTGAAAGACAATGTTGTTAGATGTACTGTATTTCCTTACAATGTCACAAATTCTAAATTATCTATTTTTCCAAAATCCAGAAGGCTTCAAATACCAAATTTTAAAGGACATTTTGTTATATTATTCATGAAAACACTGACACTATAAATGATGTTCCATAACTTACTAAATGGATGATAGAAGATATAACATCAGAATGAAATAAAATGAATAGCTAAGATTTTTGAGGCTAATTCAATCTTTCTAAAAATCCCATACCATAAAACATTTGCTTATATGAGTTAAGTATTATCTTTTGGAAACAAGTTTAATATAGGCTGTGCTATGCCAGTAACATTCCTTCAGATGTTAAGGTCTCCTATAGCTTAAAAGTGAGAAAGAATTAAAACAGCAGCAAATTTTCAGAGAGGTATTAATATCTAAGTGAGAGATTATGGTTCCTCCTTCAACTGAGGATACAGAGAGATAAAATATAAAGTAACCCACAACAATTAGTACGACAAATATAAATATTACAACTTTAAGATTTAAAAAAAAACATGTTATCTATCAGCAACTCTTTATCATACTGAAATCAAAGGTATAGAACAATGTAAAGATAACTATCCTATTAAACTGAACAATATTGGAAGTTATACTACTTGCTTTTCAACTTGACACAATTCTATTTATCTACTAATTTTGGCTTAAAATATATACCAATAAATTTCTAAGATGCTTTGAATCTAAGATCAAAGAGTATAAACTATAACTTTTAAAAGCTATTACAAAAGTATTCATGTTGTACTGCTAAAATCATAATACCCTTCCTTCAACAATGTAAACAAAAGAAGTGATCTATTTTAAACTGCTTTCACTCCTCTGATTTCCAAAGAAAAAAAGATCATTCTTACACAATTCCAATTCTAAAGGTTAAATTGGCCACTGAATTTTCCCCATGTCAAAATTAAGGCAGTCTGGGATATTTCCTTTACTAAAAGAAAAATTCATTTACATTCAGCTTTTTCATGATTTTTAAAAAAATGTAACATGCAAATGATTTATGGTTTTTTTAAAAAGCATCACCTAAGTTGGACAGTGATACAATTAAAATATAATAAATCTAGATATAATATGTTCAAATTTTAACATAAGGACCATGAAAGAAAACAATATATAGTAATTAAATGTGATTCAATTTTTAAGTGCAAATATGAAAACTGTATAAATTACACATAAATATATGCCAAGATTATAGTGAAAGATTCCTGTTTGATTGATATAATGAATATCTCCAGTGTCATACAATAGAATAAAAAAATAGGTACACAATGAAGTCTTCTAAAATCTAAGGCATATGAAAATATTTATTTTATACATCCTCTACTTCTCTAAACTAGTAAGTTTTTCCAATTACCTACCCGAACCAGTCATTAAATATTTTTAACAGATAAAATCAATCTGTTTATTAATAAAACTAAACACACCTTCAGATGCCAATTAAGAAAAGAACACTACTACCATTCTGAAAATAAATACAGCCACATAGTCCCCCAAATGAGAAAGCTGTTTTTTACTACATGGCAACACCTTTAAATAACCTAATTATAAAAACTGATATATAAATACATCATATTAGGTTGCTTTAATCAAGAAAAAAAGATATATCCATAAACCACCAGTAATGTTAGTACTGTGTAAAATTTAGATTTTTAAAAATAGATAAATGAATTACACCGCACAACAAAAAGTAAATCTATTTGTAGGTCTTTTTTTTCTGATTACAGTAATTGAAAAATGGACTTTTCAATCTTCATCATACAATTCCCCAAATTACTGTATTTAATATATGACATGCTGAAATACACAATGTAACATACAGTACTACAAATTCTAAATTCATATTAATTAATATGTAAAAATGTTTTATTTCAACCATAAACATAAAAAATTACTGAGAAAGGTAAGGTTGCTTAAGACATTTTAAAGACATAACCTGAGCAAAAATAAGAAAAGCAAATATGATAAATATCAGAAGATTATATTGGCTATACTAAAAACAATGCACATATCATTTGCATTGAAATTTATTAAAGCATCCCCAAAGTGTGTCTGTGTTCTGCATATATATCCTGAGGAAAGTTTTTGTCAAATATAGTAGTATTTTATCTAAACCTTTTGAACACAGTTACATTCTGTTTCAAAACTTAGGTAATTTGAGAAAATCCATTAGGTTACAACTAAAGTACACTTTCACCAAATACACTATCTTACCAAATGAGACACAAGAAAATGTTCATGGATTAAACATCAGGCATATTCATTCCAATAGAATAAAGAGTCATAAATACATATTGAAACACACAAAAATGGACTTCTGAATTACTGCATAATCCTACAAGAAAGTCCTTATAACTTCCCAATATAAAGAAAAGCTTTAAAATTTAGTTCATCTGAGATGAGCGATGTAAGTATGCCTTAAGTATATCTGTATATCGAAGTAAAAGAAGTGGAAAGGCACTGAGAGGTTGTTATTGTGAGGAATACCAGGACCTTAATTCCACAGGCTTGTGGTGAAGTGTGAACAGGAAAACTATTACAATTAAAGTCTATCAGAAGAAGAGAGATCCATCTGTAATAACCTAGTTAAATTTTGATTAAAACACAAAGTGTTCAGAATTAAAGCTTCTTATAAATTGCAAGGCTTTATCTTATCCTTAAAATTGATTCTATAGTGTATGATTGGTTTCCACCTGTTACAGGCAGAGTATAAGCTTTCTCGTATCCAGACATTTCAACTCACATTTGATCAGGTTACGTCACTGCACACACAAAATTTTACCCAACACATTTTAGTTTTCTTTCTTTTTTTTTAACGGATATTCTTTTTCTATAGGGAAAGCATGACTCGGAACTATAAATAAAATAACCAATTTCAATGTAATAAGAAAAAAACGCACCGCTAAGTGGACTAAGAACAAAAGATATAATTCTTGGTGTACCCTTTCTAAACCACTGAAAATAAACTGTATTCAAATGAAAAGGCATTTAATTTACTATTTGGAATATCCTTGATAAACACCAATTTTCTAAAACATCCCTGAACATCTGATACCGCCTCATGTATAATGCAAAAAAGCTATTTCATTTTCACCTACTGAAAATGAATTTAATTTACCATTGCAGTCTTTTCCTAGAACTATCACGTTATTAATTCTGCAATCAAGCTCTTTTGAGTGCTTTTATTTATATTTAGGTTTTTCACAATTCCAAACTAAATTTTTCCATCATGATATATCTTTTAAATATACAAATGTAAATATATTAGCAAACTTTCTTAATGCATAGGGAAAGTTTCAGAGACACGGAAAGCCACCTACAAAACTACACTCACAGGAAACAAACTTTCGAAGGACATCGTATCTAATAGATTACATTTTAGTTTAATAAATTTAATGTTCACCAAATATAACTACACTTAACTTATATAACAAATGACAGTTTCAACCATTCTAAGACCTTCTTAACCAGCATAATGGTCCATTTTCTACCAGCAAGTGATTGGCTATGAAAAAGAAATCCTCCAAATGTTCTGCTTACATTCATGACAGATGTCTTTGCTGTATTAAAGAACTCTTACTGAATTAGATCACTAAAAGGAAATCAGCTTTTCTTTGCCACCAGGAAAAAAAAATTAGCAGTATCGGTTCCCCTCAGCACTGAATAAAAAATGTTTGACCATAAAGATAGAATAGCCCCCAAAATGGCAGAAGTTATATCTAAGTAAAAGCAAATCAATTAACGTTTTATCTAGGAGATACACTAGTTCATTATGGAGTTTTTCCAATTAAACTTAAAATCCATATATTGAGAAGCAAAATGATTTTTAAAAAGATGAACATGCATAACTGTATAATACCTGAAATTTAAAAAGCACACTGAAAAGTACAAAAGAATTATACCACCTACGAAACTTGCCATATTCTAATGGGTTACAGTACCAAACAAACTGTTAACATATTTTAATCAAATACAGCTCTTAAGTAACAAAATTTTGAAGCATTATTTTACTTCTTACATAATATATTTTCTTGTCACAATTACATTAAAAACACAATATTTTAAAAATCCGAAGAGGCAGCACTTGTCCTCTTTACTTCACTCCAGGGCCAACAAACAAAGCAATGAAGCAGAAAGAGGTACATAATGGATTTAGAAGTAAATGGTCCATTCTTTAAAAAGGCTTCCTACCCCCTCTTCTGAATTCACTCTAGACTAATTGTCATTACAATGATGTCTGAAAACTTCAGAAGAAGCCTATTTCCTGATGCCAGCTGTCAATGTTTCTATCTTTAAATTTCAGAGTTTGCTGTGTTTTTCCCCCCAATAAGAAAGTATTTAGAAATACCTAGGAGATTCGTCTCGCAATTGGCCTATATCACAGACACACTATATCTATTATAGAAAAAAAAAGACATCATCAACAATGGAAATAGTCTTTAAGAATTTCCACAAACATTCTAATACAGTAAAGACATAAATAAAATAAAGTCTACACTATTAAGAATTTCTTTCAATACAGCAAACAGCACACAAAGAGCTTCTCTTTCTTTCCTTGGGGACTTATCAAAAAATCTCTTCACCATTGCACCTACCTGGGTAAAAATCTTTGGACTTAGACAGCTTGATGGTGGCTCCAGTTTCTTTTTGCAACTGAACAATTGTCTGTCCTCCCTTCCCAATTATAGATCCAGCAGCATAGCTAGGTATGAGAACCTTTAGAAAATACTGGCCGTCTTCTGAAAAAGGCAAAGAAATATACTTTGTTAACATGATAATTTAAACTTTGTATCCCCTCTCCACCCTCAAGAGAGAAAAACAGCAATTAGAACATTAGGCATATAGCTGAAGGAAATAGGGGGTTAAATTTTTTTAAAGAACAAAAATGAAACAATTATACTGAAAACTAAATATGTACAAATGTTTCCCATTTTGTAAGATTTATATTTTCAAACTTGGATTTAAAATCTAAACATGTTCTATTATTCTGCAGCACTGTAGAAACTGATGACTAAATTCCAGTTGTTATTCCAAACATGGAAGTCTTCCAATTCTATCTGGTTACTATGGTAAAACAAAATGAACTGACCCTTTAACAAAACTTCAAGAGAATTATAAAATGACAAACCTTCTCCTAACATACTGCAAAACAAATAAATGCACCGCAAATGGTGATGAACTATATTTGTTTGACATTAGCAAACACTTAAGGACTACAATTAGCCATTACAAATACCCTACTTAAAGTATGCAAAACAACCATTCTCCTACCAAATAATCCACCCAAACTGTAGGGTGTATTCCAAGCCTTCAATAACTGCCAGGAAAGAACTCAAAGTGATTTGAACTGGCAAATCAAAGTAATCCGGGGGTATTTCTTTAGCACTTCTTAGTCTACCATGATCTCCTTTAAGCTCATTAATTAAAAGACCTTAAGAATCCTGCCAGTGCTAAAAAGCTTAGGAGTCATTTATATCAAACACACTTAAAAATGACCGAACAGATAATGTTCCTTCTCCAAAATAACTACAACATTTAAAACGGAAAGGGGATAAGATGAACCAACAAGAAAGCATGAAATGAAATGTTTTAAAAATCAGAGCCAACTCCATAAACTTTAATTTCCGCAAAACTGATCATGTCTTAAAGAGGAAACACCCCGGAAAATCCAGCTTCCTTCGGTGAATGAAGGTTCCAAATTTTGCGGGTGTGTGCCATTCGCAAGCCCCCCATCCGTCTCTAATGCACATGCTGTAGATAAATTCACCTCTGCCGCGATGCATTGGGTGCATTGTTAAGATGACTCCCGTGCAAATGAAGAAGCGATACCGGTCCCGTTATAACTCATCTTCCCAGGAAGCGCAGGATGTTAACTAACAAGTCACAGTACCAGGCACCCCCACCCTCCTATGCACACCGCGGAAGACAAATCAATGAGAAATTTGCACCGACAATGTAAGTGCGGTAGGAGCGTGCACTCCCGGAGATCTCGCATACTACTTGTGGCCCAACGCGAGGGGATGGAGAGGAAAACTCTCAGGTGCCCCAATCGTTGGCTCTCCGCTCCCCAAGTGCCATTTATTTATTTATTTTATCACACTGTTCAATGCAGCGCGCATCTTCGGGCGGCCGTCACCTCGCTCGGGGGGTCACCCTCCTCCTCCTCCTGGACGGACCCCTTCGCCCAGGTCTAGGATATCTAAAGGGTCAGCTTTTCGACCGATTAAATGGAAAGATAGGTCTATTCCGAAAAATCGGTCGCCATTTTGATGAATGATAAACACAGACATGGAAATGTGTCCGGACGGCGAGGTGCGGGGCAGGTGCAGGGGAGGGGGCGCGGGGCAGGGGCGCGGGAGCCGCGGGTTCGGGCTGGAGGTGTCCGGGCCGCGGGAGGGAGGGAGGGAGGGCGGCGGGAGGGAGGGAGGCAGGGCGGGCGGCGGGGGATGGGGCCGGCGGGGAGGTGGAAGCGATACCCACCGCCCGTATTGGTCCTCTTGGTGCTGCCGCTTCAGGGGGGGCTTTCTAGCGGCCTTTTCCGCGAGTCCGGCGGGTCCAGGTCTATGGGAACCCCAGTGTGGGTCCCGTTCTGCTGGATGGGGGCTGCCGCCATCATGTTTGCAGTTCCTGCCGCTGCTACGGGGAGAAGGTTCTCCCTTTTGTTTTGGCTTTTTTTTCTTTTTTTTTTCTTTTTTTGCGTTTGGAGTTTCTTAAGGTTTTTTTTTTTTTCTTTAATCGGATCAATAGAAATCTCTAAGAAAAAAAGCTA